CGGGGACCGGAGCTGCTCCGCTTGCTGTCGCTGGGGGAAAGCAATGGCAGCGCTCGGGTGCAACGTGCTTTGGTGAAAATGAGGTGCCCGGTGTTGCTTCAGGGCGAGTTACCGATGGCGCATTTATCGAACGAACATTGGGCTGCTGAAAAAACAGGCAGGGACGTAGTCAGCAGTGGCACCTGGGTACAGCGTGCCCTGATTGCAGGTACGAGGAGGGGACCAGGAAACGCCACGTGCCCGTACGGGGCTGCTGCGGACGCTGGGCTGGCGTTTGTTCTCTGCTTGTTTCCGTTTGACCTTCTCCTGTTACTGCCTTTAACCGTCAATAAGCCTTCCTGCCAGGTGATGTTTATCCCCAGAAGTGTTCCTGGAGCATCATCGCGCTGCCTCCAGCCTGGCTTTTGCGAGGTGCAGCCCTCGTGTTGGCTCCGTTCCCACGCTTGCCCGGGCCACAGCTCCCCAGAAGTGGGACTCTGGGGACGCTCCTCTGGCAGCAGTGGTGGGACGGCCCTGGCAGGACTGCAGCGTGCTCTTCAGAGCCACCGCACCTTGTGCTTCGTTCCTGAGGATGTGGAAGCCCTTGGCCTCTTTGGAGGGCATCTGCCACCGCAGCTTTCCACATGGCCAGGTCCCTAAGATGTTCCACATTCAGGTATCTGCTGTCTCCCAAGCCAGCAAGGTTTTACACTGACCCTCGCCGACGCTTACTCCGCGGCACCTCCTGCCACAGTGCGTGTGGGGCACAGCAGTCTCGCTTGGCTGGGATTTAATGGAATTAGCCAGCAGGTATTTGCCCAGGGGTGGGGGAGGCTGTTTGTGAGCAAGCGTGGGTGGAGGGAGATGCAGGTGGAGGCAGCCCCAGGGGAGGCCCGCAGCGATGCTCTGCCCCGGGACTGCAGTGCCTGCAGCTTGCTCCCCAAAGCAGCATGAGCAAAGCCACGACCACCTGCATGTTTTTCAGGGGAATATCTGATGTCCTAAAATTGAGCTCTGTCACTTTTCATTTAACCTGTTTTCCCTGCCATGAGACTTTTTTTCTCCCCCAGCCCTAGTGACTTCTCTCACATCCAGGTTTCCCAAGCCCACAAGTCCTTTGAAAGCTTTTGTGGCTTCACAACAGTGAAGCTGTCGGACAGGTGAGATATGGGGTGAGCCCTCCATCCGCAGACCTTGCTGGGGAGCTCCAGCCGTGCTTTGTAAGTGCGTCCGTGCCATGCTTACAGATCGCTCTGTTCAAGTAGGAGCTGGGTAGTTTCCTTCTGCTGCTCCATCTGCAGCCCCCGGGGATGGAGGGGTGGCAGGGAATGGGGGATGTTCCTTCTCTTCTCCACAGTTATCAGTGGCAGCATGTCCAGGACATCCTGGGGTCAGCCTTCCCAGGTGCTGGGAGACAGGCAGATGTTCCCCGCACCTCCCACCATCTGCTCTGCCTCCAAAATCCTCGCTGTACAGTGACTCAGTGCCGTGTTGAAAAATCCCCACTCCCTTTCAGCATGTCAAAACCTCCGAATCTCATTAACTCCCTCTTCATTTGCATCCCTAATGGCTACACTGGGAAGGAAAATCCTGCAGATCAAGGGATGGTGTCACAACACACTGGGTGGGCAAGCGTGTAGCAGGCAGGGGAGGCAGAGGCTGCCTGGTTTTGGGACCCAAGGATGCTCCCAGAAGCATCAGGGAGCAGGTCTGTGACAGAGCAGCTCTCTGAATTAATGCTGCTGGGATGAGAAATGCGCTTCTCACCTTAAACGAGGCAGTGGGCAACTGCTTTGGGTGGCCAGTGAGTCCGTCCTCATCCCAACATTCCCTGAGCCTGAATGCATGCCTGTGGGTTGCCGGTGGGAGGGACGGGCTTTTCCCGGGGGCTCACCTGCCGCCTGCCAAGCAACCTGCAGCCCTACAGTGATCAGTCGGGTAATAGGAGCATCTCTGCAAGGGCTTCAGACACCTCCACATGTTTTTGAGGTCCCCTGGATGTGGGGAGCCTCGTGCTCTGCTGTGGTGAAAGCAGCTTTATGTTTGCTGGGCTGGGGAGGAAAAGATGTCCTGAGCTGTAATGCAACGGTCCTCTAACTTGGGCTCGGAAGCCACCGTGAAGGAGATGCTGAAAGCCTCCACAGATGTTCCCCCGCAGCGGGCCGGTAGCCAGAGGGAAAGATGCTGGAGGTGAAATATTGCCAAGCTTGGAAGGTAGGAGGGGACCAGAGGAGCTACCTGGGGAGAAGCTGGGCTCAGCCTACATGGGAAGGGATGGGGATGGGGATGATCCTGTGGTGGTGGTGGGGCTCGGGCAGGCTGCTTGAGAAGGGAACGGGTCTCTGTCTCCCCCATGATCGCCTCCATCCCTCCCGCCGTTTCCAAGCAGCTGCACAGCCCCAAGAGCCCCAGGACCCGCTGCTGGATCCCAGCAGCTTGGGGCCTGACAGCCAGGCAGGGAGGAGAGGCTTTAGAAATGCATTCCCCATGCGAAACCAGGACAGAAATAGCCGTGCCAGGGCTCAGAGGTTTCATTTGACTGCGGGGGTGCATCCCAGGCTGTCAGCAAGCAGAGGTGTTAGCAGATGGCTCCCTCCTTTCTGACAGAGAAATAAATAATAGTGTCAAGCCAGCCACCCTGTCGTTCCTCAGCACCAGCATCTGCACTCTTCTGTCCCCCAGCTCCAGCCAAAGGGGGTCCCATGTTTGCTAAGCACCAGCTTCATTTGGTCCTGGTCAACCAAGGGAGCGCTTGCAGGCTCCGGAGCCTTCGCTGAGCTGGCAGCTGCGCAAAGCAGCCCTGGCCAGAGGTAGAGTTTTAAGCAGGGGAGTGCCGGACCCTTCCCAGGGGTTATGGCTGCAGGTGCTGGAAGGGGCAGTTGTGCCTTTCTTCCTCCTCGTCCCCAGCTGGCATGGGTGACTTCCCCTCTCTGTCTTGTTTCTTGGCTTGAGGTTTCTTGTGCAAGACCTGAGCTTCCTGCTAGGTTACGCAGTGGTTTGTTTTTTAAGCCCTGTCCAGAGCTGTACCCCATGGGGGTCTTCAGAACCTGGTGTGGAAGGAGTTCCTCAGATGGGTGAGCTGCAGAGGAGGTCGGTGCCCAGTGCCATGCCATCATCAGGGCTTGCACCTCTGTTGGGGCTCTGCCTGCTTTTTGGAGAAGACCTCTGACTTTCTAGTACCGCCGTGGGGGCCAGAGGCTGTGTATGAAGTGGCAGGCTGGAAAAGCCCCTGTCACCCGTCTGGCTCTGTCTGGGGGGGGGGGGGCGACACAGGGGTGCGGGGGA